ATATATATATATATATATATATATATATATATATATTTAATGTTTTGCGCTTTTGTGTGTTGTTTGATTGAGAGATGTCAATCATTTACAGGAACTACCAATTGTCAGTAAATTTAATTCAGTCATTTAATTAATTTGATCTTTCTTTTATTTTCATCCTAAAATGTATAGTGAATTGCTTTCATTTTCCCATTTCATTGTCTCAGACCCTTTGCAGGATATAGGTTTCACTCTCCTGCCTTGCCCTGAGAGATTAACTGATCTCATAAAAATCAGATTGGCCTTGATTCTGAGTGAGTTTTCATCTTTGCACATAAATATTACGTTTCAGATAAATGACATGAAGCCGTCAGGCAATAAATGTGTGTTTTCCACAGGGCAGTCCATCGATGAGCTTTATTCATCATATGAGCTGTGGCTACACGGGCAAAAAATGCCTATCTTGAATCAGGACGAGCCCCTCTGTCTTCCTCACTTCCCACGTTTCAAGTTTTGTGGAAGCAGGAGAGGAGGTGAGCATCGAAAGAAAGTTGACGGTTACCTTTGACAGTTTTATAATAAACAGATTGCAATATTATTGGGAATAACATGTCAAATTTTGATTTCTCCAGAAATCATCACCGTTGAGTCATCATTTAAGTCAAAAACAAATATTCCTCTAAAGGTTTGGTTTGTATATTCCATTTAAACACCTAGGCTTTGATTCACTGTTGATCCATATGTCTGACGTGTGTTTGTTCACAGGCTAATTTTGATCTTAAACTACGTGCGATAAATCAAGACGGCTTCCTGATTGCCTGTGTGAACGCAACTCTCAGCTTTCATTGATCCTTTAAGACCAGAGGACCTGTACTTCATCTGAGAGCAACTGTGAAATCTATCACATTATGTTAATTGTATTACATAGTGTTGAACTCAGGTGTTGTTCTTATATTACTGCATTTGGGACACTAATTGGTGTTTCTTCAGTTGCGGAAACTGAGTGAATGTCAGCATGTGTTCATGATTTTTGATGCTTTCAGATGATTTTATAGATCGTTAACTCTTCTAAAACTATAAAAACCCAATGAAAAGGAATGAAAAAGGAAAAAGAAAGAATTATTATGTTGAAAGTCTATATTTTAGTGCTTTTGCCAGTAAACGCAAAGTTAGGGAGCATGCAACTGTTTTGTGAAAAAACACAAAAGCACTGCGATAGGCTATATTTTCCCAATAACAATTTATTCTCCATCTCCACACTGTAAATTTTACGGTAAAAAAACGGCAGCTGTGGTTGCCGGAATTTTACCGTAAAAAATATGGTAGCAACGTTTTAGGTTTTACATTTTTAACTTAAATTTACAGTTAAATACCGTAATTTCATTAACTGATATAATGTTAATATACCAACCTATTGAAGTACTGAAATCTGTTTTGTAGCTTTGTAATACACTGATAACCACCAAATGCAGGAGGTGATGAGAAAGTCACACGATGAACCAAAGCCCATCACAAGCAGCTTTTAAATAATAACATATATAGAAGTGCACAGAGTCATTCACACAAACACTAAACACCATCACGGTAACACACATGAAACTGAAATAATGCAGTAAACATTCATTTAACAACATTAGGTGTAACACACAACCCTAATATACAAAACTGATAAGAAAAAAACATAGTTTTTTCAACAAAAAAACATCAAATTTGAAATGTAACGCAGGGAATTCTGGGAATGTCCATTTACGGTTATTCACTGTAAATTATACGGTCTTTTTCACTTCCAAAAATGGTATACTACCGTAAAATTAATGTCCAATACATGTAACGTCCAATACAGTTTTTCACCGTATATAGTAGGGGAATTTACCGTTAACCATTTAACAGGTTTTTTCTGTAGCATTTTTACAGTCTTTTACCGTTAAATTCACGGTCATTTTTTACAGTGTTCCCATTACAGTATATTACATATGATCTGTGAATAAAACAAAGAAGCGTCAAGGTAAATATCACATACCATATCTTTATTATCGATCAAGCTTTTATTTTCAATCAAGCTGTAATTTCCTCAAATTATGGAAAATTATTTAATTTAATGTTAAAAGATTTTCATCACAGAATGCTGTTAAACATAATGCACAATTTGAGTTATGGTGGAAATGACACTGCGTTAGAAATTTTCTTGACTTTCCAGAAAAATAACAGTAACAGATTGTGCAATGTATGTGTACGGCTCAAACTCAAACCAATGGCTGAGAGCCTCTGATTTATATGGGTAGCAATATTAAATAAATATACAAAATTAACTAAATGTTCTTAAACAGGTTGTAAGTCTTTGTCATCAGTAGCGCTTTACATTATTTTTATTTTTAATGCATATTTGTCTACAAATATCAACAGTTTAAGGGTCATTTTTGTCAGGACTGGCTTGTTATAGTTAACTGAAACTAAAACTAAAACTAAAACTAAAACCATGAAAACAAAAAATGTTGCTTGAAATAAAATGAATGTTAGTTTAAAGGTATAGTTCACCCACAATGAAAATCCTGTCATTATTTACTCACCCTCAAGTTGTTCCAAACCTGGATGAGTTTATGAGATATTTGGTAACCAAACAGTTGCCGGAAGCCATTGACTTCCAGACTAGGTTTTTTTTCCAGTAGTAGTCAATGGCTACCAGCATTCTTCATATCTTCTTTTGTGTTCAATAGAAGAAAGAAATTCATACAGGTTTGGAACAACTTGAGGGTGAGTAAATGATGATATATTCATTTTGGGGTGAACTATCCCTTTATATCAAATTAAATATAAAAACGTTTTATTTCAGCTAGTTGCCAAGGCAACATTTATGTTTTTAGTTTACTAACCCTAACTTGATGTACTAAAATACAACGACATATAAATACAATTAAAACCAAAATAAAATGAATAAAAACTAGAATATATAAAATGACAACTACTACTAAAAATGACACAAATCACAAAATGACTAACTTTAAATTAACTTTACTAACTTTAGCTAAAATTGAAATAAAAACGAAACAATGTCTAAATGATTCAAAATATTAATAAAAGTATATTCGTATATAAATGACACGAATGTAACCCAGCGCAATCCTGACTGTGACCAATAGATGGCGCCATGACCTCTTCTGCTCCGCCGCTTCACTCTCATCCTCTCACACTCACAGCACTGCTGAGGAGCTAACCATGCACTGATGCTCCCTTCAAAAAAAGTTTTTGTTTTATTGTTTTAGACGTTTTAGATTTTGTCCTAAGAACGCATGCAACAGATACATAAATTAATGTATACTGAATGAAGAAGTGAAAAGTGATTTTTTTTTAATTTAACACCACATTTAATAGCAAACAACACAAAGTGCAAAGTTCTTGCCCATTCATAATGACAGCACATGCATTCATCACATACCTTCCATTCATGAGGAGTGATGAGGCCTGATGAGCTAGAGACAAACAGTCCTGATGCACACATGAAAAATTCAACAGGCAGATCTGGTTGAAGTGTCTTCTCACGACCTCAGAGATTAGATCTGCCTCCTTCCGTATTTCAGATACATTTACTCACTTATTTTCGCTTCATACAGACCAGAACTTCCATCACGAAAGCATTGCATAATAATTCTGAGCTGTACATCACATGCACATACTTCAGTGTTTTAACAGTGAACTGTTCACTTTTTGAGAAAACGAAATTCATTCCAGTCTGTGCTTGAACGTTTCATCACAGCTGTTTTGATTCCTAATACAAGGTGAGGCTTTTATTGAATGTGGTCGAACTGGAATTAGCAGACAGCATTAGAAAGATCAAAAATAAGTCCTGAGCCATTTAAAGGCATCTAACATGGAAAGCTTTTAGAAAGTGTTTACGTTTTTTTCAGAGAACATTCAAAAGTAACATTCTCATAATGTTTGCAAAATTCTAAAACGGAATATTTCCTTAACGTTCATATAGCCAAGAAAAAAAAAACATTAAGGGCATTTTTAATTTTTTTTAAACATTTAAAAAAAGGTTGTTTTCAATGTTTAGAGCACACTCACGTTTTCCTAACTTAATGATAACATTAGCAAAACGTCCTCAGAATACATTGTTCTTAGCTAGGTAGGCATAGGAACAGCTATCATTATTAGCAATGCAGTGCAATAGTTAACTGTTCAACTGTTCATGTTTACCTACATTACAATGAGGAAAAACCAGGGATGTTTTAATGGCTGATAAATGCACAAACATGAATATATTTAGCACATCATTAGTGATAACTGAATTACTTGTTCAGGCCCACACAGTAACCAAAAAGCAACGTAAAGGGAGCAGCAGCACAAACGACTGTTAGCCAAGAATCATCCATCACCAAGGGAAACCTGTTTTTTCACTTCTTCTCCAACCACCCGTATCTTTGAAGAAGCTAAAGAGTCTGCTGGAAGCAACAAAAGCAACCTTCGCAATGCATTAGCATGTGCTTATTTAAAATCGGCCTTGGTGTAGTTTTGCCACAGTTATTGCTCTAAATCCATGCGCTAGATTCTCTTTAAGCAAGCATGTTGTGTGCTAGCATGAGAAGTTCAGTATGTTGCAGCTTCGTCCAGGAGAGCCCTTTCCATTAAAGTCTGATTACAATGACTGTTCAACTGTTCATGTTTACCTACATTACAATGAGGAAAAACCAGGGATGTTTTAATGGCTGATAAATGCACAAACATGAATATATTTAGCACATCATTAGTGATAACTGAATTACTTGTTCAGGCCCACACAGTAACCAAAAAGCAACGTAAAGGGAGCAGCAGCACAAACGACTGTTAGCCAAGAATCATCCATCACCAAGGGAAACCTGTTTTTTCACTTCTTCTCCAACCACCCGTATCTTTGAAGAAGCTAAAGAGTCTGCTGGAAGCAACAAAAGCAACCTTCGCAATGCATTAGCATGTGCTTATTTAAAATCGGCCTTGGTGTAGTTTTGCCACAGTTATTGCTCTAAATTGCAGCTTCGTCCAGGAGAGCCCTTTCCATTAAAGTCTGATTACAATGTTTCATTTTTCAATTGTGGACATTTTGATTTGCTGACAACTAATTGAACGTGTTATGTTGTGACGGAGCGGCCTGCAGTGCAGTGTGGGATGGCTCAGACCGCGCCGCTGCGGAGGTATTCTTTCAGGCTCGTTCTCAGAGGATAAAGGAAACCTTTTGTTGCTGTGAAGGGTTGTTCCCTAGCAACAGGGTTGCATTTGGAAGCCTAGGTAACGGTCAATAAATAACATCACTCTCAAGTTTCGGCTAGTTTGGAGATGGAGGTCTCGCTGCATCTTGTCTGAAGATTTGTAGGCCTTTCAGTACGTGCTTTAACCTGTCATCCTGTGTAGGTGTACACTGTAAAAAAATGACCGTGAATTTAACGGTAAAATACTGTAAAAATGCTACAGTAAAAACCTGTTAAATGGTTAACGGTAAATTCCGCTACTGTATACGGTGAAAAACTGTATTAGACATTACATGCAATTTTACGGTAGTACACCGTTTTTGGAAGTGAAAAAGACCGTATAATTTACAGTGAATTACCATAAATTGACATTCCCAGAATTCCCTGCGTTACATTTCAAATTTGATGTTTTTTTGTTGAAATAACTGTTTCTTCTTAGTTTTTTCTTATCAGTTTTGTATATTAGGGTTGTGTGTTACACCTAATGTTGTTAAATGAATGTTTATTGCATTATTTCTGTCACCGTGATGGTGTTTGGTGTTTGTGTGAATGACGCTGTGCAGCTTCTATATATGTTATTATTTAAAAGCTGCTTGTGATGGGCTTCGGTTCATCGTGTGACTTTCTCATCATCACCTGCATTTGGTGATTATCAGTGGATTACAAATCTACAAAACAGATTTTAGTTCTTCAATAGGTTAACATTATATCAGTTAATGAAATTACGGTATTTAACTGTAAATTTAAGTTTAAAAACGTTGCTACCGTATTTTTTTACCGTAAATTGTACAGATTTTTTTACAGTGTAGTTTACATGATAACGAACTAAACAAACCATCACTTTAATTGGCTCTTTAGCATATCTGACTCATAGAGTTCCTTGCAAATTACTCTGCAACCATGCAGACTTTTGGAAGGAACGATAAACTGCTCTACCAAGTTATTCATTGACCCAGATAGTGAACTCCTCAAACCGAGGAAAGAAAGCCACTATGGAAATGCCAAACTGTATTTCTTGTTTGATTTGAGCAGTAAGCACGGCTGGGGGTTTGTGTAGTAATTGATCAGAATTACAGAATGATACAGTAGTCAGTCAAGTCTAATATCCAGTATCACAATGGGGCAGCTTTGGCCAGTCTAGCCAGCCTGAGCTGGAGGACAGGGAGGGTCTAATATCCTGCCAGCAGCACCACGAGGAATCAGCAGCTTTAACTAACCACTGACATCAGTCACAACCTCACAGCTGATAAAACCCGGCAAAATCCTCAATTGATTTCTTTTGCCATTTGAAGTCAACTAACATTTGTATTATTTCTCAGCCTGTTGCATGCCAGACCAAAAACTTTCCTAATGTAATGTTCTGAGCATTTTATTAATGCTATATTCACCTTTATCACTAACTTCAGGTGTTTTGATTGTCTTTGTCATTTACTCTGTACATTTTCTCCTTTTTAAAGTGGTTCTGCACTACTTTGCAAAGATGCTTTAGCAATATGAACGAACAACTATTTGTCATGCCAATAAAACTCTGAACTATAAAATCGATTAATACAAGTGCAACTAATAATAATCATTTGTATTTTTTATATTTGGTTCATTAAATTGTGCTGTTATTTAATGAATACCTTTTTGCGATTTTTATTTCCGTTTTATATGAATAAAAACAATTTCTATTCTTCATATTTTATGTAGCGTTTTTTTATTTATTAATTATTTGTTATTTTGTGTTTTCCCAACCATTAATACAGATAATTTGCCAAAATGTACTATGACTATTTTTTTTACATTTCTGAATAAATGATTCTTTTTAAATAATAATAATTTGAATAGTTTGGTTGTATTTTAAACAAACAACAACAACAATATTAACAACTTGTATTGCTTATACTTTTATATTAGTGATGTTATTTAATTATTTTATTGGGTTAATGATTTATCAAGATTGACTACTATGCTTATTATTATCTAACTTCATTTTACTTCCAATGGCCTTTCTTTTTACAGATAATTTGCCAAAATGTACTATGACTATTTTTTTTACATTTCTGAATAAATGATTCTTTTTAAATAATAATAATTTGAATAGTTTGGTTGTATTTTAAACAAACAACAACAACAATATTAACAACTTGTATTGCTTATACTTTTATTTACCCTTTTTATTAGTGATGTTATTTAATTATTTTATTGGGTTAATGATTTATCAAGATTGACTACTATGCTTATTATTATCTAACTTCATTTTACTTCCAATGGCCTTTCTTTTTATATATATATTTTGTCTTTATTGTTTGAAATGGAGTTGTGTGTGTCTCTCTAACCACACCACGCACTGATCAGATGCACTGCTCTGTGTTTCGAGTATTGTTTCGGAAGAGTTTGTGAAAGAGCAGGTTAAGTTGTGTGTGGGATGCTGCAGCTTCAGTAACGCGTCCCCTTGGAGACTAGAGCAGGAGCAACACGTGATTCTCCGCCTTACTGATCCGCTTTAGAGAGAGAGAGAGAGAGAGAGAGAGAGACGCGGTGGGAGGACAGCGAAATGAGCGTTTTCCTCTCTCCTCCCTAAAGCATCTCGGCGTGGGGGGAATCTGGGAGAGTGGGCAACTCAAACACAAAGTTGACGAACTTTGCACATCTTTTACAAACGCCATTTTGATTCCTCTCCGGAACAACTTTTGCAGCTTCTTTCTATCTTTTTTTTTCTTTCTCTCTCTCCTCACCATCATCATCATCATCATCATCATGTCTCGGCGAAAGCAACCCAACCCTAACAAAGTCAAGCGTAAGTTACTCGGCTGTCCTAAACACTGCTGTTTTGGTTTGCTGTGTATATTTGATGTTCTTCGGCGTAACTTTGGAGTTGGAGTCAGTGGGAAAGTTAATGCGGAGTAAGAGGACACTTTTTTTTTTTCTTCCCAACTTCAGCTTCCTCGTTGCGCGAGGACAGACCTGATGCTCGCGGACAGCAGCGTTTCTCGCGGACATCGGGCGTGTTTCTGTGCACGCAACTTTGCGGTTATCTTTACTAACTTTTTAGAGCGGTGTGTTAGTTGTTGCATGCGATGGTGGGGTTGAAAGTCTGTGGCTGTTAGCGCGTTAAGCTAACGCGCCGCTGTCGCGCGGAGCATCACATCTTGCGTGCACTTTGATCGCCTCGCCTCGCGCTTCGGTCGACCAACGAAATGGTCGTTTTTGATATATATATATATACATATATCATTAGTTTTGCATGCGTTTTTTGTTGTTGTTGTTGTTGTTGTTGTTGTTTCTAGTTCGACAACAACCTGTTGCGTCACAAAGTTTGTGTATCTCTTTAAGGATGGCCTGTTTTTGATCACAGAAGCGTTCAGGTAAGTTAGTTGCCGAGGTAGTTCGAGTAAAGAAACTTCGTATTTTTTTGTGATTCTGTCACTTTTAGTCGCTGGTTCAGGACTGGTTAAGATGTGCATCATCAAATCAAACGCGTTAGGTGTCCATATGTTGTGTCAAAGTAAGTTTTATTGGTTTGCTGTGTATATTTGATGTTCTTCGGCGTAACTTTGGAGTTGGAGTCAGTGGGAAAGTTAATGCGGAGTAAGAGGACACTTTTTTTTTTTCTTCCCAACTTCAGCTTCCTCGTTGCGCGAGGACAGACCTGATGCTCGCGGACAGCAGCGTTTCTCGCGGACATCGGGCGTGTTTCTGTGCACGCAACTTTGCGGTTATCTTTACTAACTTTTTAGAGCGGTGTGTTAGTTGTTGCATGCGATGGTGGGGTTGAAAGTCTGTGGCTGTTAGCGCGTTAAGCTAACGCGCCGCTGTCGCGCGGAGCATCACATCTTGCGTGCACTTTGATCGCCTCGCCTCGCGCTTCGGTCGACCAACGAAATGGTCGTTTTTGATATATATATATACATATATCATTAGTTTTGCATGCGTTTTTTGTTGTTGTTGTTGTTGTTGTTTCTAGTTCGACAACAACCTGTTGCGTCACAAAGTTTGTGTATCTCTTTAAGGATGGCCTGTTTTTGATCACAGAAGCGTTCAGGTAAGTTAGTTGCCGAGGTAGTTCGAGTAAAGAAACTTCGTATTTTTTTGTGATTCTGTCACTTTTAGTCGCTGGTTCAGGACTGGTTAAGATGTGCATCATCAAATCAAACGCGTTAGGTGTCCATATGTTGTGTCAAAGTAAGTTTTATTGAAAAAGTTTGTCGTTGTGAACTGAAGGAATGGATGAGTCCGCTCGGTCTCTCGGGAGACGGCAGCAGAGCTCGAGCTGCTCAGATAATGGTTGCTAGGCACTTGTGTTCCGTCTCTTGTCCGCCCCCCCTCGGAGAAGCTTCAAGAGAGACGGAGGTAAACGTGGCAAATTCACTCGCTACATTTTGTGCATCCTCCACGGTGTCTGCATGCTTTTAAGACGCTTTGTTGTGCAGTATTTAATCAAGGGTAGGCCTCTAGGGACCATAGATAAAATACTGCAACAGCATTATTTGTGAGTGATATTGCTCGATCAATATCAAGTAACTTACCCAGACACCACTGACACGTCTGCAAGATGTCTGGTAAAGATCGCTTCATCTGGAAAGCATCTGCTGTGCACAAACATCTGCTAGACGTCTTTAAGATGTCAGTTTTACATGCATTCTAAATCTGAAACATCTTAAAGACATCTTCTAAACGTCTATTTGACATCTGACGGGAAACGTCCTGTGCATTCGTCTCGGTACGTGTTCTGTCAGGGTACCCTCTAGACAGATTGGCTAGTTAGTGCATATGTTTGTTGAATGGACAAATGTGTCCTTTATGTGTATTTGGAAATGATCGTACTAATGACTGCCCTGATAGCACTGGTGCATCACAGAGACGTCAGTTTGACATCTGCAAGACGTCTACAGGACGTTTCCCGTCAGATGTCAAATAGACGTTTAGAAGAGGTCTATGATTTAGAATGAATGTAAAACTGACATCTTAAAATGTCTATCAGATGTTTGTGCACAGCAGATGCTTTCCAGATGAAGCGATCTTTAACAGACATCTTGTAGATGTATGTGTGCTATCTGGGTTAAGGGAAGTCATATTTACAAATGGGAAACTCAGAATTCTAGATGATACATGAGTTGCCAAGTTGTGATGTTGAAAGACGTGTGTTGATTTGACATTGTGGAAACGTGTGTGTATGTATATATATATATATATATATATAAGAGATCAGTGAGCGGAGAGCGAATTGGCGTTTATCGCTGAACTTTTACAGTTTTTTTTACATTTAGTTGTGGTACCATCCATGGATAAATAAGTTGGTAGAAATTAATATTTTTCATCATTTTTGGATGTAGTTATTTGGGTTTATTTTTCACAATATAATTCTTTTTTTGTTTTGTTTAGACTACTTCCAGGTTATGTTTCCAACTTGAATTTGTGACATGCCCTAGTAACAAGCACAATATTCAGAGGAACAAGTTTCCCAAGTGCACTCGAAGCCAGCAGTAGTTCCGAAATATAAGCCAAAGCATCAAGTTTTGAGTGTCACCAAGTAACACGCAAACAAAAAGACTTCTGTAATCTCTCGTCTCCAGCTCCACTCCAGGTTTTCCATTGTGCACTCCTCCAGTGAAACACCTTTGACTTTCCAAAACCCCATTCCATGCTCCGCTTCCGCTTCACACCGCTTACATACTTCGGTTCGGCGTGGACTGGTACAAATAATACACAGTCCCAGTACTGCTCGACCAATCGCATTCGATGATGGGGTCGTGGCAAATCAAGAAGTTTCCCTTTGCCTTTTTTTCTTTAAAGGAAGGGAGGAGAGGACGGATCCAGATGAGCAGTTCACATTCCACTATGAAATGCAACACTGGAGACGAGCAGAGTCTCGAGCTGCAGCAATGCACTATCACTACTCGGACATCATGCCTCTCTCCATCTCTAAATATAAGATCTTATGTGATCCCTTAAAATAAAAGCCCAACCTGATGTATTTAGCTGGACCATAATGATGACAGTAAACACATTTTCTCTGTTTTTCCTTAAATCAGTAATGGCAAAGTTTGGTAGCCAGTAGGACCATACAGAGGCCTTGCAGCCAGTCTTAAAGGATCAGCTTGATGATGTTGTGGCTAAAGGAGGAGGATGTTTCCATGTAGTTTTGTTTGTTTCTTCTTTGGCTAAGGCTAATAGGAAAGTATGCTTTATCTTTTTTATTTTTAAAGGCACGTTCTAGAGAGTCTAAAGTATGCACATAATTTGATCTTTGAGCTTCGCTAATGGAGTTTGTGAAGAGTCTAGTGTTGTAGACTCATAGTGAATTAAATCCCAAAGGAAATGGAGATTGATGCTGAACTGTCAGGGAAGTTTTTCAGTGAATAGAAACCCATGCATACTGTCCCAATCTGGTGTCCAGTCCCTCTTGGGATATTTTCCAGGGCTAATTAAATGTATATCACCCTCCCTCGGGTCTCAGTGAGTGTCCGGGGTATTGACATTATCTAAATTCATTATAGTAATTCCCAAGATACCTACACAGCAGGCCTCGGTTGTGGCTGCCAAATGATAAACACTTTACAGCTCTGCTTTGCATCAATGACCTTCTCAGATTTACGTTTCATTTTATTTGATGTTCTATCTTCGAATTACCATCTTACTTGAAATGCTTTCTAAATAACTGATTCCAGATTCAATTGCATGGGGTGCATTTGAAATATTGTGTCTTGTTATACCATTTTTAGCCACTAATATTAGGCAGCTGTACCTGGTTTATGCATTCTTCATCCATTCATTCACGATGTTTTGCTTAGTGCTCTTATTGGTTACTAATGCTATTGAAGTCTAAATGAGACATAGAAAATGTGCAACCTGTGTTATCCTGATGGAGAGGGATCTGCTTTTGGCCCTAGGGCATGATGGGTTGGCCCATTGGCTCCCAGGCTATATTTATCCAGCCTTTTTTAGATAAGATTATATTCCATCTCTCCGTAAGGCGTATAGTTGAGACAGGAACACAGCGGGGGAACAGCTTTGAGTGAGAGATGGAGGCAAATGAGCCCTACGGTGTATTTGTTGGTTCCCCAAATTAGGCGTTTATCCATAAATATTAGGATGATGTTGTACAAGTACACACAATTAACATCACACAAAAGAACTAGATATTCAAACTGACCAACTCATTCAAGAATGGCAGCAATTAGTTAGAGATGCAGAGTTGTGGGTTTAATTGTTGTAGGGGTTTGTTGATTTTATTAGCACACAGATTTACTGGTGTTTTATTAAAACTAGTGGTTTATTTCAGAGTGACACAGGCATGCTTCTGTCTGGACGTCCATACTAGAATAGTGTTGGGTGCTGACACTTTAGCCTCAGCTATATTTGTGGTTGTCCTGGTTGAAGTCCCTCACTGCCTACTGTTTGTTAATGCAGTAAGAAGAATGCAGACATTTCATGAATGCTGCTTTACCTCCTTCTCACCGTGGCTCATTATTGTTAACAGACTGGATGTGTCATATATGGGATTGGAGGCTTAACCTCAAAAATTCAACCAATCCTCTCTGTGATTGCAGGAGATTGTTGTCATGGCCCACACAGGCAGCACTTATCTTTGGCTGTGAAAATATGAAAAACATGTTTGGTTCAGAAACGTGTAGCTGCTGAAGAACTAGCAGTTGCAAAAGATGTAGTTCAAAGCAATTCTGATCTATTCGCTAAGGCAAGCAAATGAATCATTTGCAGGTTGCTTAGAATAAAAAAAGTCTGATAAATTCATAAATGTAAATGTAAGCATCACTATTTTGTTTTTTCAAAACCTTA